TTTCTTTAAGTGAAATGCAATGTGTTAAATAATGCATATTTTTCATAAAATTAAGATTTTTAGCTCAATATTTTCATTGCTTTCAGATGGTCATATGGAGTATTATTATATGAATTGTTTTCATTTGGTGAAATACCGTATACTTTATTTCAAGCATCTGACATTCTCGAGTTTCTAGATTCAGGTGGCCGCTTAAGTCAACCTGACCATTGCCCAAATGAAATGTTTGCTTTTCTCTAATTCATCAGAATTTATTTGTTTCATTTTTATTATATTTTTGATAATTGTATTTTTATAAGTAATATAATACTTTTAATAATTTATAAAATTAAAAAATAGTAACAAAATATGAAAAATGCAAATGCACAGTTAAATCATTTATTTTTATAGATATAGGATAATGCTTCAGTGCTGGCAACATGAACCCAAATTGCGACCAATGTTTACTGAAATTTGTGCTAATCTAAAAGCCATTGATAAATTTAGTTTGAAGCAAAATATGCGCTCTGAAATACTCAATGAACAGTCAAATGATCAGATATGATCAGATATGATCAAATGATCAGATATGATCATTTGATTGTATTGACCATAAATAGATTTGTAAATGTTTACTAGCATTTGAAACTGTCTTGAAAAAAACTCAGCAATTTTGTTTCACTTGTTCAGATTCACTACAGTAACTTTCTTTTTTATCTCATTTATGCAAATTTTGTTAAAATAGAATAAAAAAAACTTTCTATCCTATAAAGTTTTTATTGTTATTGAAATATGTTCTTAGATCAGTTTTACAAGCATTACTTATCATTTGAAATATACTTTCCTACTTTTAAATTGATACTTGTACTTGATTACTTGTTAACTGATTGATCAATTGTTTTTCCCTCAAAACTTTGAATCATATTCAGAAATCTGTTTTTGAATACACTTCAATATATATTTTTTCATTAACAAACTTTTAATTTTTCAAATTAATCCCTTTGCAACAAAAATTCTTGTTTAACAACATGTGTATTATGATGACTTTGAAAATTTCAGATTGTATTCAGAAGTTTTTTATGATATTCAGATTTGCTTAATCTTTTGGAGCTAAAAAAGAATCACTTAACTGTATGTTTATTGAATTGTGACGATCATTCATGGTTAAAAAGTTTTCGTTGAGCAATTATATTATTTATGCACAATAATATATGCTTGTTTAGAATTCAGATTCAGGACTTGAAATGCTCAAATTTATCTTTTCAATGTTTTTACTTAACAAAGTAGTATCTGTTACTTTGCATATAACATATGAAAGGAATTTGTAAATGTAAGCATGAAAATCATATTATGGATTAATATAAAAATAATTACAGGGGATTTAGTTCAG